GGAATATCGCAATAAACAACATGTGAACAACAACATCATGTTCACATTACATTATGCTGCTGCAACAAATTGCTTATTTCATCCAAATTCAACACAGTAAAAAATGACGAGGAGAAACACAAAAATAAATAAATCAAAGACATGAAATTTTGGCCAAATTTAAATAAAACGAACCACAACACAATAATAATAAAATATCACAAGAACATACTTGATAAAATTGGTGGTGGCAGGATAGTATCGAAACCTTAAATACAGATTGTACGGTCGCCTGATCGCAACCCCATGATGATACGCATTTTTCCAACCCGACGGAGCAAACTTCTCCAATCGCTGATTCTCTTCCAAGAAGAAGTGCTCACCATCTGGAAATATTCTTCTATTCACAAAAAAAGTCTCCTAACTTTGAATTTCGAACAGTCAGTTAACGCTGACCACCACATCAAGTTCATGTGGCTGACTTGACTTTCACTTCAACCATCAGAAAACTGTATGATTTGACATCAAAGTTTTCTCATTAAGAATGTTGTTACGGTGTTTTGAAACGACACGCGACAAGGCATATTTGCGGTTTTCTTGATCATTTCCTCTAGAGAAAACTCCTCCCAAATGATCCTCCCTGCCTCTTTCTTTCGTTACATTAACAGTTTGTAATCAACACTGTCCTCATACACTCACTGACTGATGCCATCTAAAGCTGTATTCATGCAACTAGAAGCATGATTACTCTGAAAAAAAGATAGAATAGTTGAGATGAACCTCTTAAAGTCGTAAGACCAAAGAATGAATTTTCGTTGAAATTGATATGCCTCATCACCACATCCGCAACTTCTGAAGCAATCGCATCCGAACGACAACTCACTTCGATATTTTTTCCGTTCAGTAATTCCACTTTTACACCGGTTTGTTCCACTCGATGCAAAGACATTTTCTTCTGAAAATTATCCGCTTTTCGTGCTTTCAAAACGTGACATAAAGCGACAGTTTTTGAGAAACCACAAGATTCACCTTGCGCATTGCTGGAGCTTTCAAGCATATCGATGGAGCATTCTCGTTCATCACGAACTCTGGCTCTGCACGTCCCTTAAACGAAGAGGCGGTCAAGTCTTTTCGATGTTATTTTTAGCATCATAACTCATTGTAAGCATAAAAAGATAATCAAAACTTTAAAATGTGAAAATAAATCAGCTGAACTGATTCAAAATTGAACTGATCGCATCACTGGAAAATCTTTCTACGTATAAATTAAAAATGATGATAAATTGCTGGCAAAACAATTCAAGTTTTCTTTTCTGAACCTTTTGACGTTTATTAGCATTCCTCAACGAATGTTTTCGACCGCTTATTCGGCC